GCGTGGGCAACAAGGCTTAGTAGCATACATACTCTCTCCCTCTCACTTGTAAGGCCATCCCCTTTATCTATAAAAGGGGATGCGCTCTCTTCCAACAGAGACGTTGATTGATTAGATCGATCAAGTTCACTGGTACACAACAGCAGAACCACCAGGTTCAAACCACGAGTACACGCTCGAACACTTAGCACATAGCGGAGCTCCCGTCGCTTTCGGTCCCTCTAACCAGAGTTCGACCGGACCTCTTGTACCCCCCATCTCTCTCCTTCTCGTTTGTAACCCCACTGCAAACTTCGAGCACCTGGGCTCAGGAATAAAGTCACCGACTGACTCAAATTGGACGTAGGGCATGCTGCCTGAACTAGTATAAACCCTGTGTCATTGAGTGCTAGGCCACCTCCGATCACAACGTACGGCAAAACTATAAATATTTACTTGTTGGTCACTTTCTACACCGACACCACCTGGGACAGAACCGTCTAATCTAATGCCTCCCAGGAGTGCTCATCTTCCATTAGACACTAAGCACTCAAAGGAGGACACCAAATCACGCGATTCCATCGGGCACACCCCAGGAGAGAACCCGAAAATCCATAAGTTTACATCAGGATCACAAATGAGATAATAAAGCTTACATCATTCTTAACCATTTCTTACATCACTTTTAATACAACATCAGAGTATAACATTTATTATTATAACAGTAGAATGTAATCATATTATCAGAGTTATGAACAATTTAATGTAACAGCGGAATATAAACATGTGATCAGAATTACAGCGGAAATAAATATCTATTCATGGCATGATGAAACATTGATAAATGAACTATGACAATATATTATAAAAACTTCTGTTTATAAAAACATCTGGTGAGAGTTATAAATAAAAACTACGATCGTAGCGTAAAGGAAATCCCCTCTGAGCCCACCAGGAGGAATCCACACACAAAGGTCAGCTCTAGCATCCACCTGTCACCTGCAACAGGGGGAATAAAACCCCGAGTACTCAATTGCACTCAGCAAGACTTATCCGACAGGAGGAAAGAAAAGACTCCAAGGATATGCAAGGCTATCTGGCTTATGGGTTCATTGCATCTACAGGAAGCATTACTAAGCGTGCGTCCTTATATTCGATTTTTATTAACAGCCGCATTAGTTCATTAACCAACAATTCTATGTAAGCACATGTGCTACTTTCAAGCAAGTGGTAAGCAATCAGATTTCCTTTTTTCATTCCATCTTTGATCTTTCAGTTCTTACTACGGTGCTAGACATAAAACAAGCCGTACCGGATTGCTCGGCGATTCGTGAATCAATGCCCCTAGCTGGGTACCCCGAAAACACACGCCCCGCTTGTACCCAAGGCACAAGCCGGACCAATCCATCACCCTCCTGTCCTGGGTGCCCAAGTCCCCATCCAAACTGGGACTCCAAGCCCCCGCCCCTGAGTCCTAGACTCAGTGCGGTGCAAAGACCTCCTAACCCAAAAACCATCCTGACAGTCGATCCGGAAAGAGCCGGATCTCACGACAAGAGAGCAACAAGTCTTCTAAGCGCCCATACATAAGTATGTGCTCGGGATAATAAATCTGTGACTTGCCTCGATGACTTATGTAACGACCGGTCCTTAACCGACACAGACAGGGAAAGTAGTGTAACCCAGCTATGTCCCGTGTCCGCGGCGACACAACCTCTTACACCCACCAATACCCAAACCACATCCCTGCCCGGTCACCATTTTTCTTCCCACCATTTATATTTTTACAATATTAAGTACCTTAAATTAATTATATAGCTTCCAAGAATATTATCAACTATATGAATAAAATATACTAACAAGTAGATCATGATTTTAGAAGACTAACAAAATTAGTTTCATAAATTTTGGTCAACTACACAAATTTATATTGATTTTACAAGTCTGTTTCCGAAACTAATTAACACTTGCTTTATAAAACTAATTGGGCCAGCGGCCACCTATTCGGCCCAGCGGACGCGCGGGCGTGAGTGGCCCACAGACGCGCGCAGCCCAGCGGTGCAAGGCCGGTCCAGACCGGCGAGCATGGCCCAAGCGGTGCGGCGGTAGGCCGGTAGCTGGAGCGGTCGGGCCAGGTGCGCAGGCCACGGCCCAACAGCCGGCCCACGCGGCCCCGGATCCAGAGAGGACGCGTAATTATGCAAAAAGGACCCTGTGCTTTCTCGAAACTAATCATCAGCCCAGCGTGTACTATTCCTATGAGTCACGTATTTAGCAATCAGAACCCTGTATTAATTTTATTCTCATTCCTCACCTTTCTCTTTATCTTCCACGAACAGAGCACAGGGCAGAGGAGCTCCGGCCAGCGACCAATCCCGGTCGGGAAGGCACGGCGACGGCGGGAGTCCCGCCAGGGAGTTGCATGGGAACTCGCGCGACCACGACCTGGCCGCAGCAAGACCCAAGCCGGCCCACGACGGCCTGCCCGTGAGAGCCAAGGAGGAGGGCACGCCGGCAGCGGCTGTGTCGGCCAGGCGAGGACGGCAGGATGGTGTGCAAGGCACAACGGCTCTAGGACGGGCACGGGTGGTGGCGGCACGGCATGGCAGGCACGCGCGCGTGGGGGGCGGCGGTGGAAGCGGACGACGGCGGTCATTGCGGGATCGCGGTCCGGCATGAGGACACAGCGTGGGACCCGGCGCACCTGCGCGTGCGACAACCGGCGACAGGAGCGGCCACAGAGCCAGCAAGGGGTCGCCCCGGAGCAACGGGTTCCACGCGGGGCCGAAGGGGCGCAGCCCGCGCTCGTGAGGAGGAAGAGGTGAGGCGGAGGAGGCACCAGGGAGAGGCGGCGCCGTGGGCAGAGCAACGGGGGAGCCCGAGTGAGAGAGAGCAAGCGAGGAGGGCGAGCAACACGGCAGCACGGCCAGGCGAGTTGGGAGGGAAAGCAGCACGACGCGCGAGAGGAAGGCGAGGAGCACAGCCGCGGGCTCGGCGCGCCGCTCGTCTTGAGGCGTGGCCGGGCGGCGTCGGCCGATTCTTCTTGACTCGGGAGAGACAATGGAGAGAGAAGAAAAGAAGGGGCGCGGGAGTAGGGCGAGGCGATCCGACGTCACAAATCGGGTGCTTGGCTCGACAGAGAGGCAGTCCAAACAAGCGAGCACAGACTGAGAAAAGCCGCAGCAGTCTGAGACAAGCTGAGCCAGGCAATGCAAGCAAGGTCAGAGAGCAGAGAGCATGACAAGGGCATTGATGGTGCTGCAGTGCGATGCGATGAGTTGAACGGCAGTGGCGTGCTAGCACGCGCTTAGCGAAATGAGAGGATGCGACGTGGGCAGGGTAGAACCACGTGCTCTCCTGGGGAATGCAAACAAAGTAGTACACAGCAGCAGCAGCCTGGCCAACTTCTTTAAGACGCTCTCAGAGAAAGGATGCGAGAGAGAAGGACAGGGGCACAGGCAAACGGACACGCCGAGGGTGCAGAGCAATGCAGAGCCACGACGAGAGACGTGACGGGGATTAATTGCCATGCAACGAGTACGCTATACGCCAGGAAAAATAAATGAAGCTGTTGCGCTATCTCTCGCCTGTTACGTGCTTTCCAAAATAAACGTGAGTATATATATATATTTCTATTAGTTTACTAATTTATACACCTAACAACATCTAGGCACAAGAAGATCTTCAACAAAGCTCGAATTTAAATTGGATTCTAAAGCTATGTATATATCGTTCTATTTATTAATAGATTTTATTTTATTTATAAAAGTTGTTTTTCATGCTTAATTTAATAGAACAAACCACTCGTTATTTACTTAATAGAATCGTCATCGGATATTCCTAAATATCTTTACGCACTGAGTAATTTGACTTGGACGTTGATTCAAGTCCACAAAATTAAGTCACACAGGATTCACTCATCACGTCGAGTATGTTTTAAATAAAAATTTAAGAAACTCGTTTCGAAAATTTTACTTAAATCTAAATTATGGTATTAAATAAGCTCGTAAAACCAGATGTGTTATAAGGACGAGATACCGGCGAGAGGAAGAAGGGAGAGGGAGGCGCGCGAAGGTTGAAGTAGGTCGTGCGTGACGCACGCACGGCCGTTGTTAAGCTGTGTCCTTTTTAAAAATTATTATTATAGTGCTCGGGTCATTAAATAATAAATAAAATCACACTACTGATATCTCTTATCTATTCCTTTATTTCGTCCTGTCTCACGAGTAAACCATCGCCATCGCCAAATAAGCTTGTGGTTTTACGGACAACACTTCGCTCCAAATGGTAAAACGTTATGGTTTTCTATATGTATAACTTTTACTATTACTATACATATATGCCTCCTAGTTATATCTAAAATCCATGTATGTATTTAATAGAAAGTCAACATCTTACACACTCCTTTTCAAATTATAAGATATTTTGGTCTTTTTATATTTCTAAGTGTATAACAAAATTCATATATCTAGAAACGATAAAATATTTTATAATTTAGAATGGAGTGAGCCAATTTAGATAAGAGAGTAGGAATTAGCCTTGAGATATCTGTCAACAATCAATGATACGGAAGTCTGATTACTTCTACGTTACACTGGTCCTGTTCGCTTATCTTATAAGTCGTATTTTTCAGCTTGTTTTTTTATCTGGAACAGTATTTTTCCTCTCGTAACAAATCAGCCGGAACAGTATTTCGACTTGTTTTTTCAGCGAAGCGAACGGCCCACTGACTCGTTAAAAAAGGTATGACGTGCCTTTGAGCATTTTTTGTTTGAATTGGTCTGATATCTCGTTCTCATGAAGCAAAATCTCAGAGCAGGAGTATTTGCTAACACGATTGTATAGTTGATCAACGAAAAAGCGAATCATCGGAGGGCCAATTTGCAAGGAACGAAGAAAAATGCAACCTTGCACTGTTCCGCTCGTTTCTCCTTCACCCCCTGCCCACCTCCCACGCTAACCCACCACCATACCAGGTCACCAACCACGCACCCGCCTCCGCCTGGCCACGCTCTCCCGCCATGAAGCAGCTCCACAAGTCTTCCCCCACCCACGCGCCATCGTCGGCGCACGCGCCGGCTCCCAAGGCCGCCAAGCCGGCGCGCCCCGGCCCGCGCTCCTGGATCGGGTACGTCCTCCGCGAGCAGCGCCTCCTCTTCGTCCTCCTCGGCGCGCTCATCGCCTCGACCTTCTTCCTCCTCCGGCCCTACCTCTCGCTCTCCCCGTCCTCCCACCTCCCCGACGCCCGCCCGCTCTTCTCCTTCGCCGCCCGCTCCGGCGTCCCCGCCGGCTTCCGCCCGCCGCCGCGCCGCGTCGTCGTCACCGGCGGGGCAGGGTTCGTCGGCAGCCACCTCGTCGACCGGCTCCTGGAGCAGGGGGACAGCGTGATCGTGGTCGACAACTTCTTCACCGGCAGGAAGGAGAACGTTGCGCACCACCTCCGGAACCCCAGGTTCGAGCTGCTCCGCCACGATGTGGTCGAGCCAATCCTCCTTGAGGTCGACCGGATCTACCACCTCGCGTGCCCCGCGTCGCCCGTGCACTATAAGTATAACCCAATCAAGACGATCATATCCTTCATGACTGGATCTCACCGGTTGATTTTTCTTACATTGAAAGCGACTTGTTCTGATCCCATCGGCCTCTTCTCTTTTTGTATTTTTGGTTGTGGGTGGGTGGGTGGCGGGCGGATTAGTGTCAGATAGGAAATGGAGCAAAACTGGGGATCCGTAAGGAAGGATAATGTTTTGTTAGATGCGATCACCCAGAATGCAGCATCTATATGTTCTCAAACTGGATTTTTTCTTTCTTTCTTAAAGCAGCCAAAAAGTTAAAACGAATATGGCTAAAGATCCGTTTAGATAAAGATCATTTGCTTGATTTGGTTTAATTGAATACAGATAGATATCAATTGGTCAAGGATGCCTTGCTGTAGATTCTTGAAATAATTACTTCTGTTTCTCAGTATATGACTTCAGTTATATGCACGGATATGAGGGGAAGGTTGTCGCCAACTTTTGCAGCTTGTGTCCATTCAGTATCCATATAAATGTTTTGTGTTTCTTTTGTCTCAAATTTGGACTTCTTAACACTTTGTACAAGACAAATGTCATGGGAACTTTGAATATGTTGGGTCTGGCAAAGCGAATTGGTGCAAGGTTTTTGTTGACTAGCACAAGTGAAGTTTATGGTGATCCCCTTGAGCATCCACAGAAGGAGTCATACTGGGGGCACGTTAATCCTATAGGTAATTAATGATGTGCTCTCCTAGTTATTAAGCCTCTTATTTCTGTTCTATACGTCACATTTCAACTTCTGAAATTCAATTTGATATCCTTTTCAGGTGTTAGGAGCTGTTATGATGAGGGGAAGAGAACAGCAGAGACTTTAACTATGGACTATCATCGTGGTGGTGGTGTTGAGGTAATACTCTAGTCTTTGTGGTCAAATGTGGTATCTTGTCATTGGACAATATTTTTTTATATAGGCTATTGAAGCCTTTATGGTGCTGTTTGGTTCTACACGTGACAACATTAACGTAAAGATAACGCTTCCCCGACGGTAATGGGAAGGAAATCGCTACTTTCTATTTTTGTTTGGTTCCGGCCAAGGTAGTTCTTTTTCTCGTTGCGGTGTTACCGGACACGAGCGCAAACGCTTACAGTCCACGATCGAGCGTAAGCCGCACGCTGAAGGCCCGTATCCAATCCCTTGGCAACCGATCACACAGTTCGGCAAACAGACAACAATGAACGCAGTCCGTTGGCGGTGAGATCGGATCACATCACGAAATGTGCCAACCAAACAGCACCTATGTTTTTTCATTTACTTAAGTGGCAAAATAAGGAAACTCAATGAAACACAACCTAAACTTCTTAATGTATCATAACTGATCTATTAGGTTTAAAAAGGGCGTACCCAGTGCAGAGAGCTCCCGCTCTGTGCGGGGTCTGGGGAAGGGTGTCAGTGGAAAGCCTTACCCTCGCTTGTGCAATGCGAGGAGACCGCGATTCGAACCCGGGACCTTCCGGTCACAGGCGGTAAGACTCTACCGCTTGCACCAGGCCCGCCCTTCATAACTGATCTATTAGGTTTGGTTCTTAATTATTGAGAAGATATGGAATGACATAGGTTTGTTATGGATGGATTATTGTGGGAAGCTAGCAGTCTTGAACATTATAATATTTCAATTTCATGATCGGCATTTTGGATTTATTCCATTAACAGTTATATCAGTTATACTGCTTCATGAGACAAGTTACGACCAATATGATTCATTATTTACATTAATATGTTGTATATACAATCTTGTTCAATTAATCTTCTGGTGGATTAAAACAAAATACTGCAGCTCTTTATTAGCTTTAAATCGTTATACTTCTTGAATATGTTTTACTAACTTGAATAGTTGACAGGTGCGTATTGCACGCATTTTCAATACATATGGTCCTCGTATGTGCCTCGATGATGGCCGTGTCGTCAGCAATTTTGTTGCACAGGTTTGTTTGCTACATATTATGGACTCTATTTTTCTTAGTTGTGATTTATTATGCATGTAAGCATCCATACAATTGTCCTTGCAGGCACTGCGAAGACAACCGATGACAGTTTATGGTGACGGGAAACAAACTCGAAGTTTCCAATATGTTTCTGATCTGGTAAGCACTGAACAGTCTTATTATGCATTTTGGTGTGTGAACTGTGATCGTTACCTGCGGATCTTCTGTGCTGTTGTTCCCTACTGCAATTTCACTTGGCAACAGTCTCTTCTCCAGTTGCATATCTTAAGAATTAATACAAAATGTACAGAACTTTGTTATGCTTCTTTCTACCATAAAGTTTTTTTACTATTCAGTCCTAGATTCATTGTAATAGATTGCCAGCAACAATTTTCTAGAGGGACCAGGGAATTAGCCATTCATATTGTTGCCACTTATTTACAATTTGGAGAGAGAATATTCTGCGACTAAAATCTTATTGAGCTTTGTTTATACATATGAGATGAATGCTCACCCATGGCTTCACATACCTTTGCCTCTTATTTAAGTTGTTCGTAATCCTGCACCATATGTTCTTAGGTTGCTGGGTTGATGGCTCTAATGGAGAGTGATCATATTGGTCCTTTCAACTTGGGTAACCCAGGAGAGTTTACCATGTTGGAGCTAGCACAGGTTTGTAGACAATCTGTTTTAAAAAATATATCCTTTTTTGATCGCAATAAAAAATATCCTTAAAGTGCACAAATGACAAACGCACCTTCCCCAGGTTGTTAAGGAAACAATTGACCCAATGGCAACCATTGAATTCAAACCCAATACAGCTGATGATCCCCATATGAGAAAGCCAGATATCACCAAGGCTAAGCAACTGCTACATTGGGAGCCAAAGGTCTCTCTCAAAGAAGGCCTTCCGCTAATGGTAAAAGACTTCCGTCAAAGGATCTCGGATGAGTAATCAAAGCAATCCTACAATACTGGTGACCGGTTTGAGCCTGAACGATGCTGCAAATACAGTCAAAAGCTCTTCACCGATTGGAGCCATGCAGTACAATGTACTGTGTACACAATAGACTGTAGAATCACGCAGGCCCCATTTGGAATGTGGGGAATCCATAGTATTTCAACGGGATAGTACAAGTTCTGTGAAATAGCTGAAAAGTTCATGGGAAGTTCGTATTAATTTTTTTTGTATCTTGGTGAGGCAGAACAGAAGCAGTCAATTATTTTTTGTGCATGTGAGATTCCAGAATTGTGGGTAGTGAGAGATAGGATACAATGCTGTATTTCAGGAACTTTTGTAACACAGAACATTCATCATGTGAAAAATGTAATTGAATGTTTTTGCCAGCTCACTTTTGTTCTTGTATATTCAACTGACAGTCCACAAATTCCCCTTTTTTTCAAAATGTTTGACAGATAAAGTGAAAGCTAACATAGTCTTATATACAGTATCTGAGCAATTTTCTGGATACATTTGTCATCAGATGTTGATTTCAAAAACATCAACGAAGCTTACTTGCAACATGGTAGGTGTTTCCGCAATTTCTATGGCCTTTACTTGAGATGCACACTGAAACTGAGCGCTCTGCTCGAGCTGACATTCCCACCCATTTCTGGTACACCAGCTACTCTGACAACGGCAAAGCCGGTGGCGTCACTGTACCGCCCCGTCCCTCCGACAACCGCGATGTGAGACTCCTGATCGTCGCGGCGGACGCCGAAGAACCTGAGGCTGTCGTCCGCGCCATCGCCGGCAAACGAGGCCTTCACGGCCACCATGTGGCTGCTGTTGTCAGCCAAGCCGGTGACGAGGACGCCCTGCAGCCTCCCATCCAGAGGCAGCCCCAACTCCTTCCTGCCGCGGAGCTGCTCGTCGATCACGGTCACCGCGCCGGGCCGGAGTGCGTCTGGCCTCGTCAAGGCGCGCAGCCAGCTGCCGGAGTGGCCGATTGGCCCCTGGTTCGTGAAGACGGGGTGCCGCGTGGAAGGAGCTGTGGTTTTCGGCGGTGCGACGCCGGTGGTGTACAGCGTGATCGTCTGGCCGGAGCTGTGGGAAGGGGGTGGGGAACTGTGACGTGCCTGACGGGCGCTGGCTACCGTGCTCGTCATGGCGAGTAGGAGCGCGAGAGCAGTGCAGGCTTGCTCGAGGATGCGAGTGCGAGATTGTGCGTGCATCTTGGCCCCGCCGTGCATATATGTTTTGCGTCTGATCGGGGCTTGTTTAAGTGGTGCCTGCAAGGATTTGGTTTAGGTCGTCAAGAGGGCAGATGAGTAAACAAGTAGGATCAGGGGAGTTGGTTGATGAACCAAACTACTCCATTATTGGGAATTGGAAAATTGGTTTCATAGCATCGAAAGATCACGACATTCGAAAAATATCACCGAAAGATATCCGTTACGTAAAATGCCACCGAAAGAATAGACTGTTACTTTCAAATATCATTTCGTCACGGTGGCCACTTTTGCAGTGAATTCCTCCGTTGAGACACATTTGTTTTCCCATTTCAGAGAAACAAAGCACACACGGCGGCGTACGGGCACAGCCCGATTCGCCCCTGGAGAGGGCACCGCGGCCGTGACCGACCAGCCGGCGGCCTTCGCGGTGGCCGGCCACACCTATCGATGTTAGTGGCGTGGCCTGATATGGCTCATAGGAGCAGGGCCCCGTGCCCGCGCGACATGCAACACGGGAGACGGCGACGACATGCAGCAATGGCGAACCCGCCGACTACAAGGTCGGCGCGGGTACACGTCAGGTGGGGGGTGCTAGAGGGTCTGTTCTGGGCATGGCTTGTGCGGGGTTGAGTAAGAGCGATGGGGCGGCTCACCATGCGGAAAAAACAAGCGTCTACGGTCGGTGTCAAGCAGGACGGAGGCGGCCCAGGAAGCAGGGCTGCCGCGCGGAGTTTTGGCCCAAGAAGGTGCACACGGTGGTGGTGGACGCGGCAGTGTTGCTGGCTTGGTGGAGGCACCTCCGATTGGAGCTGTCCGTGGGAGTTCCCTGCGCGGCGGCCATGGCGAGCAGCAGGAACAACACACTTGGCGGTGGCAGGATCCAGCGTCCCAGAGCGGATTTGCTCAGTTCAGGTGAGCCGCGATCGGAAGAAGTCCGGACGGACGTGGTGGTACGCTCGGCCGAGACGCTGGTGGTCTGCACCCATAGGAACAGCGACGGCGGACCGAGAGCCGGCCATGGCGGCGGACAGCAGCAGTTTTGGCGACATGGCGTGGCTGCGGCCCAGAGTTGTTTGCTATCGTGCGCAGGGGTGAGAACATGCTAGCGGAGATGGTGGGACACATGGCTTGGCAGTGGTACGGTGGTGCCAACGGTGGTGGTGAGAGCTAAGAGCAGATCGGCGGCTCCGAGCTTGGCGTCCAGGCACAAGCACATGCGAGTGGACCAGTCATAGGCAGCCGTCGTCCCAGGTCCCAACCATCGCGAGTAATCCTATATGCATGCACGTAAACTCGATTGCTCTTGTATGTGCCGTGAGCTCAATGATAGATGATCCATACACATACGCACAGTCGCACACAGGGCACTGGTCTCCTGGCAGTGTCCACGGAGGTGAGGGCGTGAGGCAGCTGCGGCCGCCGCTGTGCGGACCCGGCGTGGCTGGACCGTGCGAGGTTGCCACGCGGCGTAGGGCATGTGTTGCTGCCTATGAGCGTGTCCATGCTCAACCAGGCAGCTGGGTTGAGGAAGAAAGGTGTCTCGATGGAGCAATTCACGGCGACAGCCGTCATCGTGACAAAATGCTATTTGAAGGTAACAGTTCGTTTTTTCGGTGGTATTTTACGTGACGGACGTATTTTTCGAATGTGGTGATCTTTGATACTATGAAACTAATTCTCCCATTAGGAATTTACGATTATTGGGTTAGTAGAAACAACTTTCAGAATCTGCTTTGCAATGTGTCTGTGTGCATCAAAAGTTTTCGAATACGTAATAAGATGAGTAATTGATAGGAAAAAAAAATGCGTAAAAGCCCATTCCAGCCTTTTCCTCCTGCAGGTCGTGCCCTCGCCTCGCCTCCTCCCCGTTCCCGCTCCCAAATTGGTTGCGGCGGCGGGCGGTAGCGGTGATGAGGATCGAGGAGGTGCAGTCGACGTCGAAGAAGCAGCGCATCGCCACCCATACCCACATCAAGGGACTCGGTCTCGACGTAGCTGCCCACTCCAGCTTCTTCTCCGTTCCCCCTTCCCCAGTGGAGGGGTTTGCTTGGGTTTTAGCTTCTGTGTGTGTTTGCGAGATCAGTAGATGCTCACTGCTTTGTCTGTCGTTTTCTCATGGGAGCAGGCCAATGGCATGGCGATTTCGTTGGCGGCGGGGTTCGTGGGCCAGGCGGCTGCGCGCGAGGCGGCCGGGCTGGTGGTCGACATGATTCGCCAGAAGAAGATGGCCGGCCGCGCGCTGCTACTTGCGGGCCCGCCCGCCACGGGCAAGACGGCGCTAGCGCTCGGCGTAGCCCAGGAGCTCGGCAGCAAGGTCTGTGCTTCCAATTGCTCCTTTTCCTCACAGAAATCAGCTATTCATTTTGGTGGTAAAGCTAGGGTTTTATTTCTTCCCCTTTTCCTTCGCTGTGGGGGATAATGTCTCCTACCAATACCCTGGCATTGTAATAATATTTGAATTGTGCTCAGCACATTTGCAAGGAAGAGGGCCGGATTTAATCTACTAGTTTTCTATATTGACTGATAGTACCAGATTTTTATCTACTCAATTCTTCTATTGGACATTGTTGTGGAGGTGAAGTTAGGTTCTGATAACTGTGGGCTGTCTTCAATCAATTTTCTGTTTATAGATTACCCTGTTTGGTGAATAAGGTCTGGATGGGCACCAAAAAAACTGTTTCTCTAGTTCATAGGCATAGGGATCTTGAGGTATTTTAGCATACTTAATGTCATTTTAGCTGCATGGTTTAAGTTTCATGTTGAACTAGCTGAATTGGTGTTCTAAAGGGACAGTTTACCCAGTAAAATGTTATTGATGTTGCTACGGTATTATGCTTGCTGAATTCACTGTAGATTTATGTTGTTCTAACCTAATGTTTCCTTCCCCTGTAACTACAATGCAGGTCCCTTTCTGTCCTATGGTAGGATCAGAAGTGTACTCCTCAGAGGTCAAGAAAACTAGAGGTGCTGATGGAAAATTTCCGTAGAGCTATAGGTTTGCGTATAAAGGAAAACAAAGAAGTTTATGAAGGAGAGGTAAGCAATGCAATGCATATATACGGCCCATGTTCAAGTTAAACAAATACTAGGCTATAATTAGATTAGTGGTTTCCTTATTTATCAACAGTTTTCATAATCGCTTTGATCGTTTCTTGTTGCTTGAATAAAGTATAGACTTACCAATGTTGCTCTGTTCCTAGGTTACGGAACTTTCCCCAGAAGAGGCTGAGAGTACAACTGGTGGATATGCGAAAAGCATTAGCCATGTAATCATTGGCCTAAAGACTGTTTAAGGGACTAAGCAACTGAAGTTAGATCCTTCAGTTTATGATGCTTTGATCAAGGAAAAGGTGCCTGGTTCCTTACCTATCCTGCTGGTGATAGAATTTTGGATTAAATTTTACTCTTACAATAAAAATGGCAGTCTAATTGTTTCTTACTCAAAATAATGTCTTCATGAACATTTTAAATCTGCTATGCCCTATGCCTATTGATAATTACTCACTGGGAAAATTTTATGCTAACTCGCTGGCAGATGATGTCCTGTTGTCTTTTGACTAGTCCTGGTGCTGAGTAGCTCCTTAAGCATCGAGAAATCATGCACTATATTTGCTTTCTGGGTTATTGTATCTATTGTGCTATCTGCATTTGTTTCTTTAGGTTACTCACTGTTTGCATATGGACATAGGTGGCAGTGGGTGATGTTATATACATCGAAGCAAATAGTGGTGCAGTGAAAAGAGTTGGTAGATGTGATTCTTTTGCTACAGAATACGATCTTGAAGCTGAAGAGTATGTTCCTATCCCCAAAGGCGAAGTCCATAAGAAAAAGGAAATAGTGCAGGTATCATTCTGATGCAATCGTAACCTTAATATTTCATTAATTTTCTGCATCAATCTTGATGCTTGATTTATACTCTATGTATATGGTATATATACCCTATACAGGTTCTGGTATGTACAGGACAATTATACAGACGAGAGGTAGATTTGTTTGAATGATCATATTAGCTGAGCACACCAGATGTCTAGAAGAACAAATATTGAAGAGTCGGCCATCATTGCTAATTCAAACAAGGGTTATGTGCATCAACGTCGGCCATCATCCGAAATCCTTTCAACAAGAATCTCTTAGAGTCGATTAACTTGGTTCTATCATTGCTGGTGCTGCTACTAGTACTTAGTAAATAAACAGTTGGAAGTTTGTTGTTAGATTACCTGATTGTCTGTTATCATGCGGAGGATATTTTCCTTAATGCAATATACAATTATAATTAATGCTCGGATTTGCATCTCAACATGGAGGCTTCCTGTAATCTATGCTCTTGTTCTGAAGAGGAAATAACCTTCTCATCCTTTTATGCAGGATGTCACACTTCATGACCTTGATGCAGCAAATGCACAGCCACAAGGAGGCCAAGATATTTTATCCCTTATGGGCCCGATGATGAAACCACGAAAGACTGAAATCACCGAAAAGCTACGGCAAGAAATCAATAAGGTTTTCATTTTTTACTGACATTTTTTTAGTTTTCTAAGAAGTATCAAATTTGGATAATCATATAAGAATCTTTACCTGATTTTTAATTTTATATGGTGACAGGTGGTAAACAGATATATTGAGGAAGGAATTGCAGAGCTTGTACCTGGTGTTTTGTTCATTGATGAGGTACTATTTTATTGCATTTGTGATTGAAAAAATACACTTGTCATGGCCTAAGAAAAAACTAAGTAGCAAGCACGTTGATTTTGTTGATTGCTAAACATATTTTATCTGCCTCATGGTGCAGTGGCACATTTGTTGAACTTGACTGTCTTCTGTTTATTCAAAATGAATTAATAAAATAACGTTTTTCAGGTCCACATGTTGGATATTGAATGCTTTTCTTATCTTAACCGTGCACTGGAGAGCCCTTTATCACCAATTGTGATACTTGCTACGAATAGGGGAATATGTAATGTAAGGTAAGCAGTTTATTTGCCACAGTACTCTGCAGCTAACTTCAATACCAGAATGAATCCGCACTTGTCTATTAAGCTAATACTTGCTTAATAATTCTTGTAATGGTTTTATCCAGAGGAACTGATATGACAAGTCCACATGGTATACCAGTGGATCTTCTAGATAGGTTGGTGATTATTCGGACAGAAACATATGGACCTACTGAGATGATACAGGTTCTTATTTTGGGCATAATTTATGTTGGATTGTTCCTGTCCAGAATTTGCATTAATCTTTGTTCATTGCCCTTTACAGATATTGGCAATCCGAGCACAAGTGGAAGAGATTGATATCGATGAAGAAAGTCTTGCTTATTTAGGCGAGATCGGACAGCAGACATCTTTGAGGTTAGATTTTTGTGTTGTTCTTTGGTATTTTCCACGCATTCCATGGATTAGTTTTCAAATATGAGTTCAAAGACGCAAGTCCTTGGAAGTTAGGCATGTATCTCATTGATCTGATCTGTGATGTGTATGATTTCCTTTACTTTCATAATTGATCTCACTGTAGTGTTCGATATCACAAGCTGATTTTGCCTTCCCTCCCTTGATAGCTAGTGAGAAATGATGGTAACAGATCATTTTCTCTTTGCAGACATGCTATTCAGTTACAATCACCAGCCAGCGTGGTTGCAAAGACTAAAGGGCGTACCCAGTGCAGAGAGCTCCCGCGTTGTGCGGGGTCTAGGGAAGGGTGTTAGTGGCAAGCCTTACCCTCGCCTTACCCTCGCCTGTGCAATGCGAGGAGACCGCGACTCGAACCCGGTACTTTCCGGTCACAGGCGGTAAGACTCTACCGGCACCAGGCCCACCATTCATGTGGTTGCAAAGACTAATGGAAGAGAAAAGATCTGCAAGGTATATCTACCGAGCTTTCATCCCTCTCTGATTCTTGTCTTGCAAGCTTATATCTCTGAGCTTATGATCTCTATCAGGCTGATCTTGAAGAAGTTAGTGGTCTCTATTTGGATGCCAAATCCTCGGCTCATCTGCTCCAGGAGCAACAAGATAGATACATCACCTAGATTTTTCCTGTCGTAGAAAGCTCGAAGAAAATGTAGTTGCCAGCTCAAGGCCATGTACTGAATCGATCTGCTTTACAGGTTCATAGTCAATTTAGTCTCCGAGAGCACATTTGGGGGAAATTATTTTTGTAGTGCCTGCTTATGGCTTCGGTTAGTCTCCAGAGAAGACTTGGTTCCGGCATACGCATATGGCTTGTTCACATACTGTTCACTGAGTAGATTGACCATCTGTGCACCCACGAGTTGTATTGGCCCCCATTGGTCGTGACCCTTTTTAACCATGTATAGGATTCATTGAGTGCAACTTTTATGGCCCTATTTTTAAGTGATCATAAAGCATAACGAAAATCTTTAGAATAAAATAAAATTTTATGTTTCATAGGTGAACTTGCGCATGCATGTACAGTGTCTAGTGTCTAATCTAAATTAAAGGTTAGAGAAAGAAAGACTCGCCTGGAGGACCTTCTAGGGAAAAAAAATGACTGCATTTGTTCCAGGAACGTTCTTCTGGACCTAAAAAAATATTTTTTCCAGTCTTTTTCTGCTGCTATTTCTCAAAACACAGCTGATATCGCGCCACGTACTGTCTCGTTCCATTTGGCCTGGCCATCGTTTTCCTAATTTCCTGCGGCAGCGCGAAGCATCTGCGGAGCATCCTGTCAACGTTGAGACCGGCGAAGCTGCGCTGTGACTGTCATCTAGCACATTGTACATGCCTTCCGGATTTCCGGTGCCGCGGTGTTCACTTCCCCCGTCCCGTCCCGGGGCTTTTTTCTTCCGTTCCACCGTCCCGGGGCTTTTTCTTCCGTTCCATGATGGCACTGAAACGTCCGTTTCCAGACAGCGAAATGCTGCTGCCCGGCCTGGAGGCTGTTCGGTTCCCCCTCCTGGGAATCACCCGTTGCGTAGACGGGGTACGCGCAGATATTCTCCATCCTCGCCACGACGACGCCAGTTGCAAGCACCGGCGCGGCGAAAGAAAAGCAACACATGTGCAATGCCATTGGTGGTCATGGCGTGCGCGGCGAGGCATTCCATGACCCAATAGCACTTGGGGCCTCACACGGCATCGCCGCCCGCCTCACGGCCTCGATCCGCTCCATCATTCCGGTGCAGTGCGCCGATCGGACTGATCGCCGCGGCAACAACGACGTGAGAGGGCCGACGGCGCCAGGGAAGGAGCGGGAAATGACGCACGCGCTGACACCAATTCGCCTGCAACGCGACAGCCCCGGCCGGCCCGCCCCGCATCACAGCCGCACACTCCCCCCCGGGCTGCCAGATAACACACCACACATCGAATCGAAATCGATCAGCTGATTCGCCGGCTGCCATGACTGACTCCGATCGCTCGCGCGTACGTAGGAGTAGCTTTTAGCTTCGTGTCCTCCAAGCAAAACAACAGGTTCATTCGTCGAGTTGGGGCCGTTGGAGTTTGACATCACCAAGATTTCAAAACGCTTTCGTACGGGGTGCATTGCACCTTGCCGCTCCGGGACCGGGATCGCTCTCCATCGCCTGATCGGACTGCCAAAGTCTCGGGAGCCTTTTGTTTGCACGTCGCCGCGCCCGAAACTCGAGGTCGAAATCGGACGGGCCGGTGACCGTGGATAGGGTAGGGTAGCACAGCGGGGGCTCGAAATATCTCACGCAGACACGCACGCACAGTAGGTGACAAGACCCTTTGCTCTTTAGCCTCTGCTTTTTTTTTCTCCTCTCTCTCGCTCGCTCTCCCGACCGCTCCCATTTTGTGTGGCGTGCGTGCATAGAAACATGGATAGCGCCTTGGCCGTTTGCGCCTTCCGTGTCTCCGGTCGCATGATTGCACATACCTAGCGAGAAAGAGGGCGATCTGGTTTGTCCCGTTTGGCCTCCCGGCCGGTCCCGGTGCCGCCGCGCCAAGAGGAAGAGACGGACGGTGGCATCAGCGGCGGCCTGCGGACTAGGAGTACGTTGGTGGGGGTGTGAATGGAATCTGGCGAGCGAGCCGGTCGAACAGTGCGGGTACACTGTGCCAGACTGCCAGTGGGGGCGGCGCGTCCAATTATTTGTACGGAAGCAATTTGGCCCGCCAATGGGGAGGCGCCATAGTGGCGGGAGATGAGCAAGGGCCGACCGATGTGATGATGACTTGATGAGAGTGGGCGAGTGGCGAAAGAAAGCCAAGCCCGTGTTTAGTTGCAAAAAAAAAGTTCCAAAAAAGTGCTACAGTATTTATCACATCGAATCTTGCGATACATGTATGGAGCATTAAATGTAGATAAAAAAAACTAATTACACAGTTTGATGGGAAATTACGAGACGAACGTTTTGAGTCTAATTAGTCCATGATTAAACACTAATTGCCAAATAAAAACAAAAGTGCTACAGTAGCCAAATTCCAACTTTCTCCTCAACTAAACAAGGGCCAAGCCACCCGGCGAACGGTTCCCAATATTCCAGGAGCAGCCGGACTATTCGGTACTTCTTTACGAACCAGCAACGATCCAGCCGAGCTCAACGAACAGGCTTGTACCCGCTCAACAGTAGTGAGCTCTCGAGAAAACAGTATGAGCAGCCACGAGCTTGGAGTGGATTCTTCCTATTTTTTCTTGCTTTTCTACTAAAAATTGATTGTAAAGTTCACACAAAAAAATTGATTGTAAAGGAAAGCTTCCTATGTATATTTTTTTACTCCAAAAGGGGTGACCAGTAGCTATTTCTATAGTAATCCAGTTGTTGAGATTTTCCTACGTTTCTCCTGCAATCAAAGAGGCATTTGTGTTAATGCTGTTTATCCGTGATCCATAAAGTAGCCACTAGCCATTCGCCGGAAAAAAAAGTGGTGACTCATAAAGCAGTACTAGAACCGATGGTAAGTACAATGTACATAATAATGTACTACAGTACTACGTACAGTAACCTTTGGGCCTCCCACTACCGAAACTTTGATTTGAGAGTGCAGCTTTGCTTACCTAGCTGGTGTCCACTTTAGGCCCTGTTTGGTTGGGCTTTTGGTTTTGGCTTTTGGCCCCAAAAGTCAAAAACTCAACCAAAGGGGCTGCTTTTGGAGGGTGCTTTTTCAGAAGCAGCTGCTTTTCTGTAGTTCATTTTTGAAAGCTGATTTGACCCTGCTTTTGGCTTTTGGCTTTCTGCTTTTCGAAATTGGTGGAATAAAAAGCTCTTCCATAGTTGTTTCAAGAGAGATAAAGATAAAAGGTATATTTTATACTTGTTTAACCAAACAGCTTTCATCTTTTCTACATCTCACAGCCCACAACAACTTTTCCACAACTCACAGCCCACAGCAGCTTTCTTCCACAGCCACAGCTCAACCAAACAGGGCCTTAATATGCTCTGCATCGGTAGGTTCTTATGCTTGTGCACGATAATGCTTAGTCATCTGCTAGGACTGGCCTGGAAGCATGAATCTTTCTCTCGCTGCATAGGCAAGCCAGAGAGAGAATAATATCTGGAAGGAGTAGTGACATAGTTGGTGTTGTCTCCCGGCCCTATTCATGCATGTTAAAAGGTAGCTTTTCATAGCCAAAACCTCTCACCACTATTCCCGCACTCTACACTGTATATTTGTGTTAAATTAAAGGAAACCCATATATTAGGAGATCATATATTTGGAACCTAGTAGTTAAATTTTAAATTTACAGCGATGTGCTACTAGGAAGTTATATAAACGGTTCAGTTATCCTAGGAATCAGGAAAACAAAAGGTCCATTCACCATTTTTCAAATCCAAACAGAACACGCGCTTTTTTTTCACATCGCGCACGCTCAAATCATCTTGTCGCCTAGTGCGAACCAACCCCTCCGGCGCGGTGATCCGACGGTCCAGAAGTGGACGCCCTCCGTGATCGGCTGAAAGGAACGGCGGAGGATGGCACCAAGGTTTCACCCCAAACGAAAAGGGTAAGGCGAGGGCGGCGTGGGCCCGCAAGAATCCCCTCCCCCGCCTCTCGGTGAATGGGGAGGCGGCACCCACGTGAGCGGCTCGCCCCCACACCCCTGACATGCGCCCTGTCCCTCTCCTCCCGCGCCGCTATTTCTACCTCCCCGCCGGCGCTACTCGTCGCGCTCTCCACCGGTCGCTCGCTCGTCCGCTCTCCATCCATCCGACCATCCCCGTCCCTGCGATCGCCCAGCTAGATCGATCTCCAGCAGAGTCTAGAGGGACACGTCCGGCCGGCGGCTTCCGCCGTCAGAGAAGCTAGCTAGCGCGCTTCGATCTCCGATCCGCGCGTATAGACGACAGCGGGGCCCGGCCGGCCGGTTTCTCTCGGCGGCGGCCATGAACGACGACGCCTCCTCGTCTCCGGCTTCGTACATCAGACTGGTAAGTGCGTGCCCGCGCGGACGATCTGTGCCGCCGTGCATTGAGATACGACGATTCGATGGTGGCCTTTGTATTGGCGTGCATGCATATGGTGATGATGCAAGGTTGTTGTTTTGTGCGATCGAATTGCGCACATGTTTGATCGATATCCAGGTGCAGCATCTGATCGAGAAGTGCATCTGCTACAAAATGAACAAGGAGGAGTGCATGGAGACGTTGGAGAAGCACGCCAAAATCATGCCCGTCATCACATCCACCGGTATGCTTCTAGAGTTCTAGCGCTGCGTGTTCTCTTCTTCTTCTCCTCACTTCTAATTAAATTCTACTCTTGTGTTTCCATTGCATTATATTCTTGCAAGCGATTAATCAATTTTATTCAAGAGTAGTGTTAGTTCACCAAAACTACTAGCCGTATCATTGATTTCTTCTTGGCATTATTATTATTATTATTATTATATATATATATTGCTAGTGTGGAAGGAGCTGGAGAAGGAGAACAGGGAGTTCTTCGAGACGTACAAAAAGGATCGGGGAGGAGGAGGCCCGAACCCGAACCAGGAAGCGTCTACTACTAGTCATCATCCTTCGCGCGTCCAACAGAGCTGCGGCTCACAAGCGTCGACGACGACGCTGCAGAAGAATCCATATGGTGAACAGGAACAGCGCGTCGTGGAGAATAAGGAGAACAGGAAGAATCCATCTCATGAACAGGAACAGCGTGTCGTCGTGGAGGAGGAGAAGAGGAAGAATCCTGCTGCTTCCAAGAGCTCAGGCGACGACGACAACCAGAACTCTCGCTCGATTAATTAGTTGCTCCTGCGGCTACGATCGATGCATGCATGGCCTGGTACATATCTCGAGAGAGCTCTATATATCAGCATCGCCAGTGTGATTATGTGTGTAATATAAGTACGTAGGGGCCTGCATGGTCATGTGTATTATTATGAGTAGATAGATTTCTGTAGATTAAACCTAGTAGCACTCAGGACGATCGAAGATTCTGGATCTACAGGCACTGCCGTACCGCAGGTGTATCAAGCAGGGTAGGCCGGGGTTGCGTTGCATGCATGTGGGGGTCCTGCACACGTGGCGGGCGAATATTCATCCAGCTATGCTTGTTTGAAGGACGACACTGCTGGTTACTGTCAGAAGAAAGAGGCCGTTCTTGTCCCAGCGCATGATCGATCGCCTCGCCGTACGTGCTTTGGCGATCGATCCAACAGACTGGACGGCCGGGGCCAAACAAAGCACGCGAGATTTCTCCCCCACCCTAGCTCCTTTTGGCGCCGGGCGCCTCTGAGTAGGACGTCTACGGCGGCCGCGCGTCGTGGAGACGGATCGGATGGCAAAAATTCCCAGGCGTGCACGTGCCGTCTAGCTTGTTTGGTCGGTAGCAGCAGGCCAGCAGCTAGCGCTGCCTGCCTCCCATCAGCAGCGACCAGCGAGCGCACGGAGTACGCAACCGGTCCAAGGGGTGTTGACCCATGTTTTTGAGGCGTCGCCTAATCGTCGCCTAGGCGTCGCCTAAGCGCCAAGGCGTGCTCGAGGGCCTAGGCGTCGTCCTCGCCACGACCTCAGCCTGTATGGCGTCCGCCTCAGTAGATTAGGCGTCGCCTAGGCACGAATGGCGTCGGGCGGACGCCTAGAGCTCTCCAGCGGACGCCATAATCTAATTCGCAGGGGAGGGCGCGAAAATGACCGCGGGTCATGATAAATCGACCAGCATGCGGCGCGGAATTCACTTCTCTGGCGGAAATCGACCGCTGAGCCATTACTGCGAGGGGGGCGAGGGAGACCGGAGAGAAAGAGAGAAGGCGGCGGGCGGACCTCCTGCTCCGCTTGGCTGCCTCCGCTTCGCCACTCGAGTCCACCGCCGGCCTCCCCTTCCGAGAAAGAAGCCCAGGCGGCGAGGGAGACCGGGAGAGAAAGAGAGAAGGCGGCGGGCGGACCTCCTGCTCCGCTCGCTAGCTCGAGTCCACCGGCCGGCCTCCCCTTCCGAGAAGAAGCTGCCCAGGGCGAGGGGAGACCGGAGAGAAAGAGAGAGAGGCGGCGGGGCGGACCTCCTGCTCCGCCATTGCTCCTCCTCCGCCGCCACTCGAGTCCACCGGCCGGCCTCCACCGAGAAGAAGCCGCCTCCTCTCGCCACTCGAGCCCCCCCAAAGATTTGCCTCCGGTCATCTTGTTGCCGCTGTGGTATGCCCCGCCACTACTCTCGCTACATGAATATAGTAATGCCTAGTATGCCTGTTGCTCTGCTTTTGATCTGAATTTTTGTATGCCTCGTTCTCGTGCTCTGCTATTGACCTCAATCGGAATATTGTATGCTCATGCTTGGATGCCCGTCCCCCCTCCTCCCTTCTCTAATATTTATTCTCACTCTCTGCTCTGCTTTCTTTTTTCTTTGATGCTTGCTTTTTATATTATATGGGTACTCACATATACAAATGCTCCTTGTGCTTGGGCATCACACACCCCCTCTACAACACACAAAGCACAGATCTTTCTTTGATCCCAAGACTAATCCAAAGAAGCAACATGGCAAGCACAGGTTGAAGTACTGAGTATGATCCCAAGATCGATCCAACAAGGAAAGCAAAGTCCAATGATCCATGCCGGAAATATAGCTCTTGGCGGGACCACCTTTAGGAGAGACTGGGTGACATGTATCCTGTGTGGACATGAGGGTTCGGGGAGGCATAAAGAGGTTCAAGCAACATTTGGTGGTGGATATGGAGATATTATCCTTTGTCCAAAAGTTAGCATTGAAATCGGGAAAGAGATGGAAGCTTACTTGCAAAAGAAGAGAAGAAGGCTTTTGTACTTGGATGGTATTGAGGAGGATGGGGAACCGGAAGATGAAATTGTGGAGGTAGCATTTGCAGATGTACAAGCAAAGCGGAAGAAGAAGAATGCCACACCAAAAGTGGTACTGCAAAAAACCAAGTTCGGGACAGCCGCTAAGAAAAGGCATGCTATCTTCCAATTCAAGGCTTCAACAAATTAGCAATGTCAATTCTACACCAAATTCACCAAAGACCAATGCAACAAAGTCAGGTTTTGTTGGTATGCTTAGAAGAACACCCGAGCAGATAGTAGATCAAAGGCGTGCAAAGGACTTTCACCCCACCATTGAGTCCAAAGCACAAAGACTAAAGAGGAGAAGCAATATGTGGATATGCAATGGGCACTTTGTGGTTCATGGAGTGTGGTGTAGCCTTTAATGCAAGCAAATTCAAGGCAATTTGAAATTGCTTGTGAGGCAACAACCCAATATGGTTCGGTACAAGCCTCCAACTAACCAAAGACTTGGTGACCCTTTGCTCCAAGAATGTGTTAAGGTGACAAGTGACATGAGGAAGGACCATGAGCAGGCCTGGAAGCAATATGGTTGTACACTAATGTCGGATGGATGGACCGATATGAGAGGGCGCCACACGATTAATTTTCTTGTGAACATCCCCGAGGGCGTGCTTTCACGAGTCGAGTTGATGCATCAAGTGAAGTTCATAGTGCAACAATGCTAGCTGATTTGTTACAGGAGAAGATTGAGGACATTGGAAGGGACAATGTTGTTCAAGTTGTGACCGACAATGGCGCTAACTATAAGGCTCTTTGGTAAGATCTTGATGGATAGGATTCCCACAACTGCTTTGGAGTCCTTGTGCTTTGCACATTGCTTGGATCTGATGTTGGAAGAAATTGGGAACTTGAAGGCATTCAAGAAACCTATTGCACGTGCTAAGCGTGTCACCAACTTCATTTATAGGCATGGAAGGCTTCTTAGTGCAATGAGGGCTCAAACAGTGGGGCTGATCTTGTTAGGACAGCAAAGACTCGATTTGCCACATCATTTCGACATTGAAGAGTTTGTACAAGAACAAGGATGCCTTGAAGAGCTTGTTTGTTAGTGAAGCATGGATGGGAACAACTTGTGTACAATCTGCAGCAGTCAACAAGTGCAAGACATTGTGCTACCCTCTTGAGTTTTTTGGAACTCGAGAGAAGATTGTTTAAGAGCTAAAACTTGACCCCTCTTAATTGTTTTGAGGGTCATTGATGGTGATGAGAAGCTCTGCAATGCCGTATGGGCTCTAATGAATCATGCAAAAGAGAGGATAAAGCAAAGCTTCAATATACCAACCAAGGATGGCCTACTCAAGAAGATCATGGAAATTATTGAGAGGCGTTGGGTGAAACAAATGGACCATCCATTGTATGGGGTTGCACTATATTTGAACCCGGGAAATTTTTTTCCTCTGATAAAAGCTAATGATGATGTCACTGTTGGGCAGCTAAGAGGTTGTTTTATTGAAGTGCTTGGAAGAATGATACCAGATGTGGAAACACAAATGAAGATCAATAGGCAGGCCATTGAGTATGAAGAGCAACGTGGAGAAGCCTTCTCAAACAAAATGGCAAAGGAAAGCTATGACAAAATGAATCCTCGTAAGTGCTGTTTATCTCAGCTTGTAAATTTCAGCAACTTAATTGCATTCCAAACACCTAGTATGTGTTGTCCTTTTCATCCAGTTGATTGGTGGCGTTCTTATGGTGGCCGAGTGAAAGGTCCTTGTTGGTTTTGGTAATTGAGTGACAACCTAGGTGGACTAATTGTGTTTATGTGAGATACACAGGTGATTAGTCCACATGTACATGTGTATGAGCAACATATGCCATGGAGGTGAAAATGGTTTGGAGATGTTGCAAAGCTCACACATGTGATGATGAAGGAGCTTATTGCACATGAGACATGACATTGAGTCATGTGATCACGGTGGAGAAGATCAAGACAAGACTTGGCTTGATGGACCGGTTGCAAGCGTGAAGGGCAAGTCGAAGGCTTTGGAGTGATGGACCGCGTGGCGGTGAAGCTTGAGCAAGACTTGGCGCCGATGGACGATGGCAACGGTGAAGGTCTAGTGAAGTCAAGATCGATGAACCAATATGATCACGTGATGATATGAAGTGGATCATATCATTGTTGATCGTGTTGGTGCATGTGTTGCATCAACATTGGAGGAGATGGAATGGAATGCGCAAGGCAAAGGTATAACCTAGGGCATTTCATTTCACCGGTCATAGGTGTGTAGAGAAGTTTATGACCGGGTTTAGGATAGATGGCCGTACTATCAAGAGGGGTAAACTTGTTTGCATATCGGTCATCTAGTGCCACTCGAGTGATCTAACTTTGCATTGTCGCTAGGATCGAGTGGCGTGGCAAGTTGAGTGGCTAACATCCTTTGGGAAATGATTGTGAAAATGCTAACACACATACACATGGTGGTGTACACTTGGTGGTGTTGGCACATTTACAAAGGAGGTGGTGTTTGCAGGGGTGAGATGGGTTTGGGTCCCTCTCTCCCTCCTGCCGAGCTTGCGAGGCGGGATTCGGCGCTTTCGGGAAAATAGAATGCCTATTTTCTATTGCGCCGGATGCAAGTTCTTGTGGTTAGCACATTGGAGCAAGGGTGATGAAGTTAGAAGTGAAAACGAGTTAGTCGCGAAGATGCTGGCGTCGGTCAACTGACCGGACGCTGGATCTGAATGCACCGGACGCTGGCAGGCTGCGTCCGGTCGCGCTGACGTACGATGACGCATAAGCTGGAGAGTGACCGGACGCTGGTGCTGCGTCCGATCGCGTTCGACCGGACGCGTCCGGTCATGCTCGGGAGCTTACTGGAAACGACCGGACGCTGAGGTCCAGCGTCCGGTCAGTTGAAGCTGCTGCGTCCGGTCAGGTCAAGTGACCGTTGGAATCGGGACACGTGGTCGTCTGCGGGCGACCGGACGCTGAGGTCCAGCGTCCGGTCAACACGACCGGAGCGTCCGGTCGGCCCGACCGTTGCCCAGTGAAGGGGTAACGGCTAGTTTAGCCCTTGAGGCTATAAATAGAAGTGGCCCTCGGCCATGGCTGGTGCTGAGCACCTCAAGGGACTTAGTGTCCATGCTTGTGAGTGCTTGGGAGCCCTCCATCACACACATACTTGATAGCGATCATCCGATTGTGTGAGTGAGCGATTCTAGTGCGATTGCATCGTGAGGTTGCATCGAGTGGCACTAGGTGATCGAGTTGCGAGCCGGTGGTGCTTGTTACTCTTGGAGGTTGCCACCTCCTAGACGGCTTGGTGGTGGTCTCCGTCGAAGCCCGCAAGAAGCTTGTGCGGTGCTCCGGAGAAGTGCTTGTGAGGGGTACTTGTGCTCGCCCCGCGGAAGCCGCGAAGAGCAACTCTAGTAAAGCGTGTCATTAAGCTACCATCACTCAAGGGGTAGGTTCTTGTGGCGCCCGACGTGCGGGCTTAGCGGGTGATGCTAATTAGCCGTCGAACCACCAAGTGAGCGGTCGACACAACGGGGACTAGCGTGTTGGCAAACACGTGAACCTCGGGAGAAAAATCATCGTGTCAACCTTGTTCTTCCCGTTGGTTTGCATCCCCATTACACAAGCTTGCAATTACTTATATATATATCTTAAGCTTGTGTAGTTGCTCTTGTAATTAGATAGCCTGTGTAGCTAGCTAATTACCTTCTTGCTTTTGTAGCATAGAAGTAGCTCCCTTGCGTGGCTAATTTGGTTTTAGTAACCTTGTTAGTCACATTGCTTAGTTTGTGTAGCTAAGTATTTGCGCTCTCTAATTAGGCGTTGGTTGCCTTGTTATTGAGCATTGCTAGTGAGCTTAGTTAGCTTTGTGCTTTTGCTTACTAGCATGTGTAGGAGCTCCCTTGTTACTTAAAGTACTAGTGGCATAGGTTTGTGTGACCTTGCTCCTAGAATTGTTTATGAGAGCTCTAGCTAGCCCGGCACCTTAGTTGCTTTATTAGTATCTTTGCAAGGTGCTAGTGAACATATATAAAGGGGTGTAGTCTTGGCTAGACCGATTGTTTTAATTCCGCATTTATATCGGTTAGCCGACGCGATTAATTTTAGAAAAGACTATTCACCCCTCCTCTAGTCCGCCATCTCGACCCTTACACCGAGCCATTGAACTACAAAGACTTGCTAAGCGTATAGTTAGTCTTTGTGCTTCATCCTCAGGATGTGAGAGATGTTGGAGTACCTTCAGTCATGTGAGTATCCTTGTGACTAACAATTTATATTTAGATGCATACAATCTGATTTTTTGTTTTGCTTCTCATCTGATTTTTTTTGTAGATGCATACAAAGAAAAGGAATAGGCTGCTGCACAAGAGATTGAATGATATTGTCTTTGTTTCATACAATCGGAAGATGAGAACAAGGTTTCAGCTTAGGCGTGAGAAGGCAGACAAGAAATATGACCCCTTAGTCATTGAGGAGTTCGATTGGGACAATGAATGGGCTGATTCATTGCATGTGCCTGCTTCCGGTGCTCGAGGGTCTGATCTTTGTTGATGACCTCACATGGCAAAGATGTTGATGAAGCCATCGGTGCATCACAAGCTGCTGCAGGGTCGTAACCTTCCTAGGAGAGCTGCTTTGCTCTGTTCAGATATTATAGACGCCCAATAAATGTTCCTCTTCTGCTGAAGATGGCGAAGAGGAAGACGAAGTTGAAGACCCACATGATGATGCGTAAGTGAGCGAGTGTGAAGAAGGCGGCAATGTTCACACTCTTCGATCAAGACGACGCATGCTTGATCTTGATGAGTTTGATGATGGATTTTGAGTCTTTGAAGCGGAGATTTGCACTCAACCCTTTTGTGTCCTACACCCTTGTCCTGCACTCATGTTGTATGGCTTTGGTGTAGTTGACTAGTAATTAGAATGCTTTAGAGTCCATGATTTCAGACTTTCGGGTCTCTAAGTTTGTGGACTATTAGAGACAAACTATGATGTCATTTGTCATGCTCATGCATGAACTAATGCACTAAGCTACTAATGCTTGCTAATTTGTTGTATTGCCTCTTGTGTATTGTTTCTTATTTAATTCTCAGCAGCTGGTAACAATGTAACATGTTCATTTACATTTCTTCATGTCATAGATTGCTGAATTTTGGAATTGTCATGTAGTTTGCTTCAAGGGGGATGGATGCTACATGGGAGAAGAGCTTTTGAAAAGGGAAGAAAGGAACCTGGGCTCCAGAATTGAGAACAAATCAGGTATGTATGTGCTGCACTTACTATATAAAACTCTAGCTTACAGCACCTTACAACGTGTGTATGGCGTAGCCTAGGCGTCCACCATAAACGCCTAGGCGTTGTGAAGGGGGTCAGCCGCGGCGCCTCAAAAACATTGGTGTTGACACGTAGGCACGTACTTACATGCCTGTGACCGCTACTGGGTATACATGTCGCTCGATGCATCGTATGTGCGTCCACAGGGAATATGTCTGGCTTCGGGAGTTCGATCGGCGGCCGATCGATCTCTCCAGCTGGCGACGGCGACAGGAGCTAGGATGATGCCCGACGAGTGCGCGCGTTGGGCATTTAGGCAACGTGTTGTGCGTATACATGTGGATTGGAGCTTTGTTTCGATCGTACAGGGGCCATCTGCTATCAGCTTGGGCAACTAGGCGAGAAGAGAAGCGACGTATGCGGGAGCTGGTAGCGCTGACGTGCTCGCATCGTTGGCTGCTGCTGGCCACCGGCCGTGCTGTGGCTGTGGTCTCTGCTGCTCTTCCGTCCGTCGTGTCGTGCTTAGCCCAGCTGTACGATGTACGCATACGTCGTTCTCAGCTACCGCCTACCGGCCAATCGAGCCTTGTTTCAGGCACGCAAGCTAGCTACTCCAATCGAACCAGCTAGCTAGCTACTGACAGTCTGACACGGGGTTTTCATGCTTCTCATGCTAGCTAAGAGACAGAGTGGATCGCTTTTTCGTAATGGAGCAGCCGAACAGGACATGAGCAACTGCCCTGTATTTCCAACAGCAACAGCAGCCAGGTATGCTAGCTACGACTCACGCATGTGTACAAACCGAAAACGTTCTACTAGTGTAGTGGGTCACCAACTCCGGTGGAATGGGTCGTCGGTGGGGTGGCCGGATCTGCATCATGTCTTACACGCGCATCAACTGTTGAACCCGGTCCTGATGAAAGAAAAACAAAAATGCTCACTGCATCTTCACTCTGTAGAGTGCATAGTATCACCTGGCGCACTTTAGCCCAGGCGGGCAGTAGACCTTGCAGCAGATATGGGTGGACCGGACCTTTCCTTCCGTACAAGCATTCAGGTAAGTCTCCATGTCAGATATCGGCCCAGCCTGCCAAGGTTGGAAGACTTGGGCCACGGTCCAGCACAAGGCCACTAGCTATGAAAAAGTTGGATTGTGGTGATCGCCACGGGCTGCTAAGAGGTGACACAAAAGTTGGAGGAACGAAAAAAAGGTGCAGCTATTGTGCTCCTCCCTCCTAATCCCAAATGTAACTCAGTCATACATGCTTCACTAAAGCTGAAATTTTTACCGTAGCTCAAGCATACAATGTGTAGTCTATCATACAAATTTCACCACAATTAGAGTATAGGAGCTGCAGTTATGAATTAAACACAAAAACACATAGATCTACACTTATAGCAAAAACTTTAAACTAAAACATGTCATATTATATATCTATTGCTAAGATCTACTCATGTGAAGGCTAACAAAAATGGAATTTTCTTTTTACAATTTTTCTATGATTTTATACTATTTTTCAAAGTTCTAATCAATTTATGAAATAAAAAAAGAGCATGTGGTGCCACATCAACGGACATTTAGGCAGCTTTGTCCTATACGGCCTGCTTCGGATGACGACTAGGACATAGACAAGGTTTATAGACCCAGATGAGTGAAAAAAAAAGTTCATAGATGAGAAGTGGAGAAAAGTTTATGGACCCACGACATAATTCACTCTAATATTTATAATAAATAACAAGTTTTAGCAGATTGAACGTGAAATATACTTATTCGAAGATATGAATACCGATACAATTTTCTGTATATCTAGTCAAAAAATGACTCATTCGAAGATATGAATACCGATACAATTTTCTGTATATCTAGTCAATAAATGACTCCTTAAGAAGCAAGATGTAGCGAGATGTGTTGTGTTAAAAAAAAAGGCGAAATGTGCAGTTATTTTGGGAGAGAGAGAGCACATTATCTGACAGAAATACGGAGCTCAGTCATCGGTCTTCAGGTAAAATGATAACAAAACAACCCCAAACTAAAGAGCTGAAGACCAATATAAAATAGGTCCTCATCACCATCACTGGAGGAATCAGATTCTGTAGTTCATGATGCCGTACGAAATCTACAAGGACACCATCGCGGTCGCAGAGAGCACTACTTTACGCTCTGTCCCATCGCATGTACCCAACTGGTTTGCTGCGATGGCTGACGAGACGAGCATCAGGTCTCAGAAGAAGCTTTCTGCGCTACACATAAATAGTTTCAGCTACGAACCCGTGTCCTTCCACCTGCTGCATAAGCTCGGTACTTGCATGCTATTTCTCGTGGGACAAGGCGTGCTCGGGCCGGTGGGTGAACTCGTAGTCGAGGTGGACGAACGCGCGCTCGATCTCTGGCAGGCGCTCCAGCTTCTCCTGCAGGGCCTCGCCGATGTCGTGAGCCTCCCGCAGCGGCATGTTCGACGGCAGCACGATGTCCACCTCCACGAAGTAGTGGGAACCAAACGTGTAGGCGCGCACTGTGTCGATATGCCGCACGGCCTTGTGGTGGTTCCAGCACAGGTAAGTCAGCTTCTGGAGGTACTCCGGCGAGGCCGACTGCCCCACCAGGGAGTGCACGTTCTCCAGCACCGTCATCGACCATGTTCTGATCGTGTAGATTGCCAGCTGCAGGGGAGGACGACAGTTAATTCTGAAGACAATCATGGTGAAAGAGTGTTTCTTGCAAGTTGCAAATGCAAAGTATTACCACAGAACAATGAGTCACAGTAGTAATGATGGTAGAACAAATGATGCTAACTACTCTTGTCCAAACTAATAAACACATATAGGATAACGAATATACTAAGATGCTACTTATACTAGATATATGGGATAAATGTGAGATCGAACTTCTCATGTACTTACAATGATTGCACCAAGTGGGTCGATCCAGCCCTCAATATAATTGGCAAGTAGTGCAGCAACCAAGCCAATTACATTTGTGATGACATCGAAAAAGTGATCCTGTGCATATGCTTTGACAATTTCGTTGGTGAATGAGCGGCAATATATAACCAGGGCAAGTTTTACCAATGTCACGGAAAGCATGATGTCCACAAGCCACTTTTCTTGATCACTTGTTAAGCTGAATTCATCTCCCTGGAGAATGAAATATGACCATATGAGATAATCAACAAGGGCAAACAATAATATGATCTACAGTTAGACACTTAGACTGATACCAAGGAAAATTACTAACCGTCCATGACAACATGACAGTTTTTTCAATTTTTAAGCACAAGAAAATATAGAGAGAAAAACTTTTGACTATGCAAAGCACATAATATTTGTTTACTGCAAGTAATTTGACTCTGCAGCGAAGGATAAAACTAAGCCATCTAAATTGCATACACTACTGATTGCCTTGATGGTTGTTACTCACAAAACAAGAGTTCACAAGAAACATTGAATTATGGTACAGAAAAATCTAAACACCCAATAGAAATATCTACTCTAAAGCAACCTGAAAAAAATTTGTAATGCATCAAAGAGCAATGGAAATTAAATCTATTTGAGAGAGACTTACATCAGACGCCAATGAGCGTATTGATTCTAGAATTATCTGAAGGCCAAGGGTTGCCATAACAGAAGCAAAAACAAGTATTCCCTGAACAAAATATTTTAGTGGACTTTTAGTATAGTGGAAAAGGAACTACAAATACATGATTGCTTATATCACAAGAAAAAACTAATATGATTGACAATTATGTAAAATAGATAGGAGCCCTCCAAACAAAGTTTTATTTTAGCATTACAGCAATACCCAGAGTTGCTATAGAAAGAACATGATCTAGAGTAACTATTCTACTTAATACTCCCTCCACTCCAAATTGTAAGTTGTTCTTGCTTTTCTAGATACATAGATTTTATTATGTATCTAGACATAAAGTATATCTAGGTGCATAGGAAAATCTATGTACCTAATAAAAAAGCCAGAACACCTTATAATTTGGAACAGAGATATTACATCGCGCAACATTTTCCTTCAATTATTTATATGGATCGTTTAATAGGCATTTATTTATTTATAGTGTTGCACGTTTTCTTTCTGAACTAATTATCATTTGTGCTTCTTTTCATATTGCCATAACAAATTACCGAGAGATTTTGGAGGACGGGCAGTTATGGTGTTTGGCAGGTGCTAGGGTTTGGCACAGCTTGATGTAGCTGCCAACCGGTTGCCCATAGTTTGTTAGAGGTCGTTTACAGTCAGTGGCACGCATGTAACATTTTCATGCTTTGTGGCGTGTGGAGTGCGTTATATCTTTTGATCCATTCTTGATGCAATGATACGCAGCCCTTGAGAGTATTCAATTTTTAATTACCAATAGCACCCGAGAAGCAATTGAAATATGTGTGTACTGACAATTGAGATAGTTCAATGGAACTGTGTTCTCCAAAGTTCAGTGGAACCAAATGCATGAACTATGGTAAAGAACGAATGATCCAAAGAAATTTGGAAGTACAGGTCATGACAAAAACAAAACTCACCAGCGGCTGCATACGCTTTTTTCCAATTGGGTATCTGTAGGGATTTGGTGTTTGCATTGAAAAGGCAGTAAACCACAAGATAAATCCTGACAACAAGTCTAGAAGAGAATCCAAAGTTGATGCCATAATAGCAAGTGAGCCACTCCTTACTGAAGCATACACTTTTGCAGCAAAGAGAACCATATTTGCAATGTTAGACAGCCGTATGGCTAATGTTTCACTCCTGGCAACCTTTTCTCGTTCTTCCTGAAGGTCAACAAAGTGGTTATATGGCATTTATTGATGCAGTCTCACTATTAAAAAAGAAGTAGAAACAAATGCAGCGAAGCAAATTTGATCATTAACATCCACATAAGCTACCTTCCCTAATGTTAGAACAGAAAGTTCATATATAACATACCTTGGACATTCCAGGAAGGAAACCACGATCTGTAAGTGTGTCCATCTCACTAAAACCCTCCAGCATCTCCACTTGCTGTTGGTAGTACTCAGCAACAACATCCTCAGGACCTTGAGCTGTCAAAAGAACCATGAATGTTATACTAAGAAGGAAGTTATGTGAAAAAGTTTCATCAAAATAAGAAAGTCAAAAGGACTTAAAATGGTATGACTAGCAAAATTACCATGCACACATAGCTCTTTTGTTTTTATAAAGTCACGCTTCAAAATTCATTTGTAATTGCCTTTCCTAATATATAGCACCGGAGATAGAATAGAACTGCTGGAACTAAACAAAACTAACCCAGACAGCTAAAGCAAAAAAAAAAAGGTACACTCATATAGCAATGGAGAACATGACTATAAATGGAGTAACTGAGATGGGAATATGACTGTCATTCAATTCCACAACTTATAGAAGCCGACATGTTGGGAAAAAAAAACACTTAGTGACACTCAGATGTCCTTTACTCTTGTATGTATGCTGATCTGTCAGTTGCCACTTAACTACACACACCACACACCAACCAAAAATAATAATAATAATAATTTTCCAGAACTTCTGCATGCGCAGTCCAAGAAATGAGTACCTCACGTGATGGAGACTGCCCTTCCTCAAATAGGCAGGAGCGGAATTTCCAGAACCCCAAAGCTAAAACTATAGTAAAGGAATGATACAGTACACATTTGTGTTGGGTTTCTAAAATTTGTAATTTGTTCTGAAAAAATTGAACAATTTATGAATAATTTGATATATCTTCTCTGATATTTGTATTCCATAGAAATAATTTGTAAATTTGTCTGAAATTTTTGACACATATTTATATTATCTCCAAATTACTGTTTAATAAATTACACTAAAACAGTCGTCCTAAATATAGTAATAAGATGATATAAATATAGTTATATGGCAAAAATTCAGTTGATGAGATGGACTAAAACTACCGGTCGTTGAGTAGACAGATCCAAAAAGAATCAAGCTAGTCCGCCCTAGCGTCAACTTAGCTCTTACTAATAGAAACCCAAAAATTGGCAACTTTGGTATTCGCAAGTCACAGAAATCAAATATTGGCAACTGAAAGTCGCAGAAATCAAATATTGGCAAATTTGGTATTCACCAGTCGCAGAAAGCAAACAAAATTATTACCGTACGAAACAAACCAAGTTGTCGAAACACGGGCGCGTAAGACCAGATCGACCAAACACAAAATATACATATACACAGAAAAAAAAAACGGCATGGATGCAAAGGAATACAGCCGAGAGAGAGGGGACCTAGACCGCCGAGGCAGTGGTGGAGCGGACCGGTCGGCGGCCTCTGCTGGTGGACCTCCGGCGGTCGGAATCCCTCGAAGTTGAGCCGCCACGACTCCTCCGCCTCGGCGGGCGCGCCGCCACCGCGGCCAGCCTCCACGGCCGAGAGCAGGAGGAGCTCCTCCCCCTCCCCGCCGTTTGCCGCCGCTGCTGCCGCAGACATTCCGCAACCCTAGCAGCCTGTGAGCTTGGGGTGCCGCGCTTACGTGGCGCTCTCCCGCGGCACGGCGGCGCGCGAGGACCAGGAGGAGCCGCAGGAGGAGACTGACGGCCGAGTTAGTTGGTAGTTGCCAAGCAGGCGCTGAGCGGGCAAACGCACTATCCCCCGGCCCCCGCGTGCGCCGTCCTCTGCGGCTGCGATTTAAGAGGGAGGCGAGGCAGGCGAGGAAAGTGTGGGGGAGTTCGTCGCTTGCGGGGGCGCGATGGCTGCGCCGAGCCTATGATGAGCCCGGAGAGGCGACTCGTCGGAAACCGGCATCTGACTGCTCGTGGGCCTGGTGTACTTGGTGTAGGAGGCTGGACTGGTGGGCCAGAATTTTCTACCGGTACACAGTACAGTTGGAGGGGCATGATTTGAGGGGAGTCGGATCCCGCAACACGAAACCGTGGCGCGACTGAACGAGCGGCACATGATTTCCTCGAGGAAACAGGCCCCACCATTATAGAAACTGAAAAAACGTCAAGCGTCTACTCGTGCTACTTAACGTTGCAATAAGAAAATTCAGTCATATGATGACAGTTTGGTCAACAAATTCATTATTATCTAGGGCTGAGCCACGTATGGCATATTTTTTGCACGAAGCTAGCCGGAGGGGAACCTCACCAGTCACCAATATATCCAGACCAAAATGTCTGAGATTAGGGGTAAGGCAAACGTTTCCAAGCATCGATTTACTTCGAACCCAAACAGCCACTACCCGGACAGTATCGTTTGATTCAATTTGACTGCCTGTTCAAGCCGTAAAAAACAAACTGGCACGGCTCTGGGCTGTGTTCGGCTGCTGGGTAAGTCAGCCGTTCGGGCTGTGGCTGCTGACAGCGCAAGAGAGAAAAGTATTGTAGGTACAGTGCGAAACAGTGCGGATAAGCCGGCCAACCAGCCATTTTCAAGATGGAAGACGTACGGTGTGGCCACAATGACCCGCTGCGTCAAGATCCAAGTAGCTTTCAGCCTTCACCCGTTTCCCGTGCTCATCCGCCGAGCGCGCGCGGTCTCATGCTTCTCCACACAAGTCCGCCACGGAAGGAACCGTGCACGAGCTGCGGCCTGCGGAGCGTGACGGGCTGACGGCCCTATCGCCGAGCACGGCCGTTTGAGCAACTGTCGGCGGGGCCGCGCGGTAGAGCGGCGGCCATGGAGCGTGGATAAGATAGACTGGGACTCCGACCCGACGTTTGCACCTGCACCAGAATTTCCCAGCCCCGTCAGCATGTGGGCGGGGGCATAAAGCGACGGTGATTGGATTTCGGAAGGATCATCCTACCCGATGAGCGCAGGACCCAATCCGGCGATGCGAATAACGTGAATTGCGTGGGTATCTTCGGAGACGAACAATTCGTAGCACACAGAAGAAAAATCAGGGCTACTGTTAACTGAGAGCGAGGACGAGGGAAAGGACAAACGCAAGGAGAATCGTTGGTTGGTGAGGGCTGCCGACTGTTCTGTGGAAGTCAAACAAAATTTCGTGAACTTGAGCTGATTTTCCACTGCGGTGCTGAGATAAAGTAATCCAGGATGCCAACACGCAACCCCCGTAACCTCATCTCCAGCAGCGCAACACAGCAGCATATCCAAAGGTTAGCAAGTATTTCCGGCAGCAAACAGAGAGTAGCTATTTGTTGACCAAACAAATAGCAGACGCCATCCTATGCAATCATAACGTGATCAAAGCAGGTCTTCGTAGTTCAGTCAAACACGTCATACCAGGAGCATAAGCAGTCATAACGTGATCAAAGCGAGATACGCCTTATTTCCCACGAAGGCAGCAGCTTCAGTCAAACCTTCGGTGATGCAGCAAGACATTCATGACAGCATATGACGCAACCGTGTTGGAAACTTGGCACTGCTTTTGTAATGTTGCTTTCGAACCAAGCTCGTGCAACGACAGATAGCCCCACAAATGGATTCCAGAATCACGTGGACAAACGGTCCCAACTGGAATTCCTGGAACCCAGGGTCCCCAGATCAGCCTCACCATTGCATCATGTACAGGAAAAGAGGCGACGCTTCACGCTTGTCTGTATTATAAAAGCGTAGCAGTTGTATCAGCGTAGCGTGACACAGCGCTGTGGGAAAAGCAAGAAAACGTGACACTGCCAGATAGGATAACAAACTGCACGATACGTGTGCCGTGGTTATAAATTGTGTCGTCCACTTTTGCTGCACATGTTAAGGTTAGATTAGAAGGTACATGGAAGCTTTTCCGGTCATCAGGTTAGTGATCGCAAGAGAACATAGAGAATTACCCGAACATTGGTCCAGCAGAAAATATAAAAACAAGAGTGCAATTAAAATACCCAGGGGATATCGAGATTTCATTCCGAGACATGTCAACCACCAAAGCTCATATAGAAAGCAGTCCAATATATATATATATATATATATATATATATATATATATATATATATATATATATATATATATATATATATATATATATATATATATATAATAAAAAAGGAGCTTTAGAAAAAAACATAAAGATGGCATATGACCTAGTAACTTTGCATGCTATGATCATGGAATGCAGTATTTGCAGGCAGGTTTGATTTCATTGGTCAAGCTGTTTGTAGGTCACTTATAACTCGTAACAGATGAGAATAACCACCACACGCACACACCTCCTCTGTCTACTAGTATGTAACTTTTGAACTAGGTAGTGCCAAGAAGTTATCTAGGTTGACCTCCAGCATTGACTCCGTCCCAAAAAATAAAAGTCGCCTAGGGTTTTGTCGAAATCAAACTTTCTTAAGTTTAACTAGGTTCATAGAAAATATTAGCAGCATTTGTATCTCCGAATAAGCTTATATTATGAAAATATATTCAACAATTAATCTAATGATGCTTATTATGTACAATAAATATTAATAATCTCTTTATATATTTGGTCAAAATTAAAAATGTTTGACTTCTCAGGCTCAGTGAAAACCAAGCTTTCACAGTGGGACTGAGGGAGTAGCTTTTATGTCAACAATTTGTCTGCTTGTTCGAACCAAGTGGTATACTTCTCAGTGAAAACCAAGCTTGACCATGAGACTTATTGTAAAATATAAAGACCAATCTCAAGCAGTACTCGCCATACAAAACAAGTTGGGTGCAATTGTTTCATTTCTAGACAAAATCACAAATTCAAGAGAAGAACATGAACAAACCAAAAGTTCCATGTCGAAAATATATTTGCCAACTTGCAAAAGAAATACTCAAATTCTAAATGCATGCAAAATGATTACCTGTTGACCAGAGAACACCATATGCCACCATTAAATATAGTGTTCCAGTCTTCTATAAAACCACTTAATCCCATATTCCCATTTATCCTCAAATGACACCACCTGGTTAGAGATTTCTGCAAGCTACCTGCTAGTACTGAGAGTCTGGCAAAATTAGTATGAATGGGAAAGACAGGAATTTGTATCAATTGGAAAATGACATCCAGATAAAATGGATCAAGTGTCAGAGAACTCTGCTTATATACAACAATTACCTTTCAAATCATTGAACAGAATGCAAGTTAGCATATTTCATTTTTCGTAGAACATCTCCACTTTTTTTGTAGTTCTTACACATCAAAACGAAGAAATACAGCATTGACATTTTCAATGTCAGTGTAGCCTCAGAAACCACATTTTCTGATGCATCTGGTAAAGAAAGGGTGTCGTAGAGCTTCACGTGCTTTAAGGCGCTCATTAGGATCATACCGAAGAAGTCCTTGAAGAAGATCAATTAGATCTCCAGCAGAATGATCAACATGTTGCATCACAAGGTTCTGCATGGATTGCAATGGTTAGAACTTTTCGAAAGGCATGCCATCTGAAAAACAACAGTCGGCAGAAGCGATGAGTAATTGATTAGTACATCAGAGAGGAAAGTACCTGCAGACGAGGCAATTTCCAGACTGCCTTCATGCTTTCTCGTGAGGCCGCTCCCTCTGGCCAGTCCAACCTTACTCCGTGCTTGAAGTATTTTTCAGCACGTCGACTGTAAAACAGCATTAATCAATGAATGTGAGTAATAAGTTAATATGAGCAGAAACCAAGACAAAACTGACCAGCTACCTCATCTTGGATTTACATGCAACAACAGAAAATGTCAAAAAAGTAGATTAAGAAGATAACAAAGGAGTTGTACACATACTCAGCTCTGACAATCATATGCTTCGGGAGGGGCCCTAAGACCCTCTCCATCATAGCCAAATGCTCCAAATTTTCATGTGTTTGAAATAGAGCTTCCCCCTAATATTATCATGAAAAAACAAAAAATGCAAGAGAGACTTCAGGACAAGCACCACAAAGTTGCAACAGATGGATAAGGTTAATCAAGTAATCCAATACAAAGAGTCTTAGTAAACTAACCGAACAGAGCTCAACTAAAATGCAACCCACACTCCACAAGTCGCATGGATAGTTCCACCCAAGACCTAAAAAAGAATTAGCCAAGATTAAAAAAACAAATACAAGACAAAAAAATGGTGTCGTTTACTCCCTCTGTTCCAAATTATAAGTCGTTTTGACTTTTTTGGTACATCCATTTTGCTAGCGACTTATAATTTGGAACGGAGGGAGTAGAAAATAAAGGTAAACTGGCTACTTTGTGTGTGGGTCAGAAGATGTTAATTATACCAAGGATAACTTCTGGTGCACGGTAATGTCTTGTCGACACCACATAATTGTGGTCTTGACTCTCGAAAGTCGTACTCCCAAAATCAATCAGCTTGATAGCACTAGATTTTGGAAGGTTCTTGAAGAAAGAACCATCCTTTGGTGGTCGTATAGAAACCTTCATTGCAAATAAAAATAAAATTTAGAGAAAGAGATGTATTTATGCAGTTGCAATTCTGCATAATCCGTTAATAAAATAAGTAGTCAAATTCCTGTGCACATAAGAATCAGAGGAATTCCTGCTATTGCAGTTCTCCATAATCATTTATTTGTCACTGCCACAC